CCTGAGTGCCTGTTGAGTTAGTGGAAGGGGAGGTAGCTCTGCTCCCAGGAAGTCCACATGCAGGACACCTCGTTGGCAAGGCCACTTGTCTGGTGCTCTGGGAGGTTTGGCTTCTCTGCAGATTGGCTGGCAGAGGATGGAGAGGAAGTTTAGACTTTGTCCAGGCCAAAGGAGACTCTGTGACACCCAGGTGGGTGCTGATCTCTGCCAGCAGAGCCCTCCTGGCTGCCAAACAAGGGCATTATCCTCGCAGCACAGATTTCCCTGGAAATGGAAAGTGGAAACACCCTGGTGGCATTCCAGGTGAAAGCCTGAGATGGGAACACGGAGGAGAGCGAGGCCTGCCCTGACTTATGCTCTGTGTGTGGATCCTCCACATGGGTGTGATGAGTTGTATCCCCTGGAGAACAGGTCACAGGAGGAACTGGGGAGCTTCTGCATGCACACATCCCTCCTGAGCACTCCTAGGCACAGGGCACGGGGCTCCAAACATTCTGATGTGGCAACCTAAGTCCAAATAGTCCCTGGAAGGTGTCCCTGCCCATGGCAGGGGTTGGAACAAGATGGTTTTTAAGGTCTCTCCCAACCCAAGCCATTCTGTGACTGTGCTGGGACTGCAGTACATTTGAAATCAGGTTGTACCTGGTATGAAACCAGATTCCTCTGGTCACGTCCTCCATGAGTTCTCACTGTCAGAGCACTGGAGATACTCCCCAGCTGACAAGGCTCGATCTTAAATCATAATCTGCCCTCACAATCTCCCCTCTGCCCCACAGTCAGTGTTGTAGCTGCCACGTGTTCACCTGAGAGGTAACAGCTAAAGGGTGTCTGATAATTAATAACTCCTGTGTGTCTGGACTTGCTGACCTGGTAGGATGGCAGGAATGCTGCTACCACTGACCCGAGGAAAAGGTGTTTGTAATCCAGGGAGTGTGTCCCAAGGAGCTCAGCAGAACATTCCCTGCTGTGGAGGGTGTGGGGACAAAGCAAAAATCCTTCCCTCCCCAAACAGGGCTGTTCTGGCTCCTGCTGACTCACCCAAGCTCTTGTCTTTGTTTCCCCTGCAGGTTCATGGAACAGCATCCAGAAATGGACTTTTCAAAGGCTAAATTCAACTGAACCCTCCCTTTCTACCCCCCTCTTTCAGTCAGCCCGTTGAATGGGGCAGGATGTGTAGGGTTGGATATTCCTCACCTTTGGGCAAGTAAAACTTCCAGCGTCCCCACCCGAGCCTGCTGTGGAGGCAGCTCCCTGGAGTCACCCCCAGTGTCCTGTGTGGAGCAGCCACAGCAGCTCCAGCCATCTGCCACAATTCCCAAAGGGCACTGGGGAGAGGAGGAGGGATTAGAGCAAAATAAAAAAAGGGTGTTAGGGCTGAGAGACCCGAGAGGTTTTGGGATATGTCCTTAATGTACTGCTTTGCTTCCCTGGGCTCTTCAGAGCTGCTCATCCACTCTTTGCCAGTTCAGTTTGGCAAAGGCACCTCCTGAGTTTTACTCCCTCCTGCTCTCCTGTGAAAACAAGGGTCAGTTTATTTTGTGAAATAATTCTCCTGCTGCCTCCTCGGGAAGGGAAAACAGCAGTTCAAACCCACAGCTACTGCAGCAAACTCTGCTTCTCCTTGCTGCTGCTCCTGTTCTTGCCAGGAGTGGGACAGCTGGAGGGGTCAGCCTGCTGTCCTACAGCCAGGAGAGTGTGTGGTGTGGGCAGGGGAGGACGTGTGGGGGCTCAGGGGGTGCTGTTCCTGCTGGGATGTGTCTCCTGCCTCTTTTCCAGGGGCCTCTCTCCCTGCTGATGGGCATCGCTGCGCTCCGTGCCGAGCTCCTGCTGACGGGTGGCATCACTCTGCATGTTCATATCTGTTCAAACTGCAGTGCAACATAAAGGAAAAAAAAAGTGGAATATTTCCAAGGCAGAGTGTGTGGTTTCTCCTGCAGAAGGGGTCCTGGATCCAGGCTGGGAGGAGCTGGGGTGCCAGGGGGGCTGCTGGCAGGGGCTGGGGTCGTGCTCTCTGCTGCCTGTAAATACTTTTTGGGTCCCCTGCTCTGGACTGGTGGTCTCTCCCTGCCTCAGGAAGAGGCAGTGGGAGCTGCATGTCTCTCAGGAGCGCTGCTGAACCCCATTCCCACCTTAAAGCCTCGGGGCTGACCAAGGCTCATTTCTCCAGGCTCAGCTCACCACTTAGCAGCACATGACCACACCAGGAAGCCACCCTTGCCCCAGGTCTCCTTTATGACAAGCAAAGCAGGAAAGTGTCACGAAATCCTGGGCTCTGGCAGTCCAGGCTACCCCAGATCCTGCTCCTGTGGTCCTTCCCGAAACGTTTCCACCTCCTACCCTAGGGAGGGCACAAATCCTGCTTGGGCAAAGTCCAGCCTGGCACTGCATGTAGTGTGGTGTTGGTGGAGAGTATTTTTTTGAGGAGTACAACACTTTGCCAGTTTTATAGATTACTGGGGTCAAAAAACAGCCCCCACCCAGCTGAGCGTGACCTCGAGGGTGAGCAAGGACCTGGGTCGAGGCAGCTGCCTCTGGACTTCTCCAGGTCCTCCTGCCTGTTCCTCTCACATATCTCTCTACACACACCTGCCTGTCCATGCTTTGGCCCTGATAAAAGAACAGGGTCTCCCCTTTCCATAAAAAAAGCCAGCTCGTGCTGGGTTGGAAGGTTTTAGCCCCAGAACGAGCTCCCTGCCGGTGTCTGCACTGAACCCCGGGGCGTGGGGCGGGTGAGCTGGAAGGGTGAGCTGTCCTGGGGCGTGTGAGGAGCTTCACCCCGCTCTCAGCTCCGTCAGGGCGCTACTGCTGCTGCTCCCTGGAGGTGCTGGAGATGGAGGAACAGGGCTGGGCTCTGCACCTGCAGCAGGATCCTCATCCAGCCGCCGGCCCCTCCTAAGGGACAAGCACAGGCAGGCACCAGGGCGGTCATAAACCAGCAGAGTCCATGGCACCACCCCCAGCCCAACCTGTAGCTTTGTTAGTTCCCCGTTTCCTCCTCAGCCCTGTATCCAGCACCAGAAGCTCCAAGCCCGACCTTTTCCCCAGGGTTGGCAGCTGCCTGGATCTGGCAGCACAGTGGGAGCAGCCTGTTCTAAGTCCAGACCTCCCTCAGTGTCCCCAACCCCAAAATCCTGGGGCTGTTCTGTCCTCAGGCTGGGAGTAACAACTGTGAAAACCCCAAATGTGCTGGTTCCAGGTGGCACTGGGATCTGGTGTCGCCTGCAGGAGGCAGCTGAGAGAAGACAAAGAGAAAAGGCAGCGACAGGAACTCCCCCCCGGGAAGGATTTTTGGGGTGCAGGGGTGTCATTTGGCCTTTCAGGGGGATAAAAGGAGAAGGCAAACAGCCCTGGGAGAACGAGGCCATTGCTGCTGCTGCTGCGAACCCAGCGGGGGTGAACGGCCGGGGGGGCCGTGTTTGTGAACCACAGCCGATCCCAGTGCCATCCCTGGACTTCAGCCCCTGGAGCCAGCGGAACAGAAGGTGTTTCTCCCGATGGCCTTGTCCTCTGCAAACACCCCGCTGCCACCGATTTCCCCCCAGGCCAAGGTGAATCAGGAGCACCCTTTTGCTTCCAAAGGCAGTTCCCCCTGGAATAAACCAGGCTCTGACAATGCAAACCCCCCCCTCACTCTGAGTTTCTGGAGACCACGGAGCAGGGAAATGCTGAGGGACACTGGGATCCAAACCCTACAAACACATCCTTGTCCCTGCAGATGCTTCCCGAGGCTGGGAATGGCCCTGCTGGAGGGTGTCAGGTGATAAAGGTCCTTCTTGTCTTTCCACACCTGCGCCAGGTCACCTGGAGAAGCTGTTTTGGTGCTGCCACCCGCCGGAGCTGGAGCTGCTGGCACATCCCAAGCTCCTCACCCTGTGCCCCCTCTCTAAAAGCAAAACCTTGCAGGCACACGGAGTTTTCCATAGGCTAAAAAGTTTTCCCCAGCAGCAGCTCTTGGCTCAGCTTTTATTAATGACTACAGCAGCTCAGACCATTTGGGAAATATCCCAGACTGCAGGGCTGCTTTGGGAGGAGTGATGGAACAGCAGAACCCCAAGGAGGGAAACAGCCAGTGAGTATTTAATGTCACTGCTTAGTTTTAGGAGGAGCCTCAGCTCCACTGTTCCTACAAGGAGCAGGCTGTGAGGAATTAGGGTCCATCCATCTGCTTTCCAAGGTCTAAGCCACACTGAAATAAATAATTCAGCAGTTCAGGGTGTGGGTGAGGAAGAGGAATTTCTTTAACACTCCTGCAGCCATTCCCTGCAGAGTTCCCAAGCTGCCTTAAGCCAATCCCAGGGAACCACTGTGGGGTGGCTCAGGCTGGGCAGCACATGGATCCCTCAGAGGGATCCATCTCCAGAGACCCTTCCCAGCCAAGAGAAGGCAGCACTTACCTGTTCATGGCTTTGAAATCCTTCCAGGAAACACATCTCTCCAGTTGGTCCTGTGCACCAGGGAGGAGAACTCACCCACACCCCCTTGTCCTCTGCCCTGGGAGGGCGAGGGAAGGTCAGGGAGGGAGGGAATGAAGCTCTGCAGGTTATCCTGAGCTTTTGCAGTGAAATTGGGAAGCGCAGAACTGGTCCTTCAAGTCACAGGGTCAGAGGCTGAGCCAACCTCCCCTCCCCGAGCTGATCCTGCCCAGCCATCAGGGACAGCAGCAGCTCCCCAGCCATTCCTGCACTTCCTACCAAGGCCTGGCGACATCACAGGGACAAGGTGGAAATTCTGGCCCCAGGCTCAGGTTTTCCAGAGCTCATCAACCCTCAGGGAAGGTCCAGGTTTCCCTGCATGCCAACAGGCACTTCCCCAGAGGCTCCTTAATTTGCAGCCAGGCACCATCCCGGTGTTCAGCCCTCTGAACGATCCCCCTGGAGCTGCCAAATGGATGGAAAGGTCCTTGTCTACCTGGCAAAGCAGGAATCAACACACCTCCTGTGCATCCCCCACCCAGGATTCCCAAACTGATGGGAGCAGGAAGGTGAAGGACACAGCACAGGTAAAGAGCTCATCTTTTACTTTATAAAAAAAGACCAAATCAGAACATTTAAGGCCAAGGAGTGCAAAAGAATCCCGTAAGACACCACAGGTGAACCAGCTTCAGGAACCACCGAGTTGAAAATTCTCCTCTTAATGAGTTTTTGGGGTTGTTTTTTTTTTTGGGGGGGGAAGGGGATTGGTTTGGTTTTTTTATAAGCTTAATCCATACCCATTCACTCTTCACACACAGACCAAGCATTAAAAATGTGCTATTTCCACCTGCTCCAGCGGTCGCAGCTCGTTGCAAGTCCAGCTCACCCCTCGTCTCCAAAGCACAGCCCACAGAGCTGCTGTGTGTCAGTGTGACCCGTGCTGAGCCCCAGTGCACAGGTTTGAGCAAACTTGTCCAAATAATAACGTCCAAATAATCCACTGAGAAGCAGAAACCAGGTGGGTCCACCCGTATGGGAGGAGGTGACCACACACGGCTCTTCTGGGAGCCCCAGCCTGGCCTTGCTTCAAGTCTTCTTGTATAAACTGGGCTTTTCACAAACCAACAGCTTTAAACACAAAGCAGGGAGGGGAAGCCAAATCCCAGGCTCAGTCTCTCCCCTTTATTTTCAAACCGTCTCGCTCTCTCAGCGTCTCCAGGTGTGGTCTCAGCAATGCCCCTGATTTCTCAAAGCATTCTGAAAAGCCAGTGCTTTACAAAACCAGGCCCTAGCAGGGACTGGAACTGTCCATTTCAAAGGGTTTTGGTCTGTTAAATAAGCCTGGCTGCTCAGGAGAGGAATTAAATCCTTCCCCCCTACCCAACCTTCTGAAGAATCATCATCACAGGCTGTGAAATTAAGGCACATTTCAAGTCATCTGAGGCACATTTCAGTTCAATTAAGGCACCTTTTAGTCCAATTAAAAAGCATTCCAGTCCAACGAAGGCACAAAAACACGGTCCACACCAAAGCACAGGGCCTATTTTGGGTTCCCTCTCTCCCAAAACCAGTGGGTGTGTTCATTCCACGGCTGGTAAATCCAACACCAAGTGTTTTCCATTCACGTCCAAGGACACCCAAAAGTATAAACAAGTCCCGTGGCTGCACGTGTTTACTTTCTGATAAACAACCAAGTGGCAACACCACAGATCCAGCTTCCTCCTGCTGCAGTGCTGCAGCCCTCAAGGTCACCTGGCACTGTGCCCTGGGGGTAGCATTGCCCCATCTCCTGCTCCCCACTGCCTGGTGGAGAGGAGCAAAGGGAAGGAGAAGGTGCTGAGGGGAAGGAAAGGACCAGCAGTGCCTCACAAACCCTGTGCAGACACTCTCAGGAGCCTTTTCCTTTTGAAGCAAGCCGCTTTTAAGGCACTTTCTAGCAAACACAAGAAGTCAGAATCAAACTGTTTCCTTCAGCTGCCACAGCCCTGCTTCCAGGCTTGCCCAGCGGGATGGGAAACGTGGAGGGCTTGGCAGAGGAGTGAGGAAGAGTTGGGACTGGCAGGGAAGTCCCAGGTCAGTGTGTGCACCTGGGAACACCTCACAGCTTTAGTTCACATCAGGCTGGCAGAGCTGATCCCCCGTGGTCTGCCCAGGGAGGGTGAAGGAAGCAGCTGAGCAGCCATCCCACCTCCCGTGTCTCAGGAGACAAACCAAGAGGCCAAAAATTAAATTAACCCCTTTTACCTGAACCTTCTCCTCACGAGGCAGCAGGACATGACACCAAGGGTCAGCAGGGACAAGGCAGATCTGGCTACTGCAAGCACACAGGTTTTTGGGGACCATCCCAGCCGCTTTAAACAGAGATTTGGGTCTCTAGAGGGGGATTTGGGTCTCTAGAGCCTCACCTCAGCATCAGCACCAACACAGAGACACCACCCAGTCATCCCCTACCCAAGTTAACTCAGGCAATGCCAGGAAGCAAGAACTGTACAACAGATCCCCAAAGCAGGCAAAGGGCTGGGCCACTGAGGCTGCAGGAGCTAAATGTTTAAATCTACAAGAAATCACAGAGGCACAAGTTATCTGATACTTCCTTGTCCATCTTCTCCTCCCTGGGCACACACTCCGCCTTCCAAGTTCATCAGCTCCACAGTGCTCCTCCTTGATGTTCTATATTGTCCAGAAAAAAACCCAAAATATCCAGTGAAATTCAGGCAGCAGGAGGAATTTGGCTTCAGTAAAGGACCAGGGTAGACTGGGCTGGGGGGAAAAAAAGTGGCCCAAGCACACTCCATATGGAAAGAGGAGGAATGTGACTGCAGCAAAGCCCTGGAATGCCTGCCCTGGAATGCTTGGGTCCTTTAACAATACACCTGAAGCAGAGGTGCCCCAGACGAGTCAGTCTCTGTGTCTTGGAAAGAGGAATCTCTGCTTGTTGGAGAGCCTTGGAGAGGAAAGAGAAGAGATGGTGACATTAGCCAGGGTGAAGCACAGCAGTGGAGCACCTGGCAGGTGGGGAAGGAGCTGCCACAAAAGGCTTTGTGTATCATGAGGGAGGAGAAAGCCACAAAAAGCCCACGGGCAGGGAACAACCCTGCCTGTATTGTAGCCATCTCCTAGGACAGATCTGTTATTATGCAGGAGGAAACTTGTCCTTTAGCCCTGGGCTGCTTTTTGGGAGGATCAGAGCTCAGGGGGACAGCCCATCACTCTCCCCTGCTTCCCTTTTGCACAGTTCCTTTTGTTCCCAGGTCTCACCCAGCTGTGACCTTCGGCAGTCACACCCCAAATACAGCCCCAAACTTTGGCGAGGCACACAGAGCCTGAAAGCTCCCGGGACAAATACTGTGGAAGGGCAGAGAACCCTCCAGACTTGGATTTCAATCCTTTTCAGAAGGACCCACCAATCCAGGGAATGTCCTGAGCTCCCATCGCTCCCGAAGCCCAAGAGAACCGAGGGGAATCTAAAGGGCAAGGTCAGCTCAGCCTTTGGGGAGGGTGGAAACTGGAGGCTCACAAAACAGGGGAGGTTCAGGGCATCCCCCTCACTGCTGTGATGCCCCTGCAGCCCAGGCCCCCCTGCAGGTCCCTCACCTGCGCTGCTGTGCCGCCTCATGTTCCGGGCCATCACATCTGCCGGCGTTTCTTCCGATATTTGCACGGCCAAATCTGGAATGAAAAACCGAGAGGGCCTGAGACAGGAAAGGATGACTCAGCAGCGAGGAGCCCTGTCAGGGAACACGGGGATCTCCAGGAGGCACCACCCTCAGGGAGCAGGGGAGGTTGAGTCTGGTTCTTCCCACTGCTTCCACCATTGTCCCGGTAACCTGAGCTGTGTGGTCCTTGAACACCAGGAAGGAACAGCAGCCTCCCTGCTAATCCGGGAAGCACAACACCCACTCGGTTTCCTCTGTTACTTCTGGATGTCTCCTTGACCTCCACACCCAGCTTTCCAAGGTCTTTCTAGAGCAAACTCTCTTACAACCTGTTCTGGAGGTTGGGCACTTCAGGCTGCTCCGGCAAGGAGGAAGCAGCCCTGGAACAACCAGGAGGCACTGGCATTGTGGAACAGCCCTTCCCTCCTCTTTGCAGGGATATTTACCGTGTGGAGGAGGTCTCAGCAACGAGGAGACACTGTCACAGTAGTCTAAAGGTGCATTAGACAGGTAGCACATGGGACAGAGCCAGCTGAGTAACTGGACATCGCCTGGCATAAGCAGCTCATCTGGTCATACCAGTTCAGTTTGACTCACGGTCTTTCTGCCCCGCTTAGAGGTGCAGAGGAAAGACAGAATCACTGCAGCAGCAGCACAAACCCTCCTATTGCTCAGCACAAACCTCGCTGGCAGGGAAAGACACGCTCAAGAAAGGCACAGCACAGTGAGGGTGAGAGGCAGAGGTCTCCATAAGGACCTCCATTCACATATCCCAGGAAAGCAAATCAACCTGTGCATTTTAAGCCTTGTAAAAATAAAGCATTGAGAGCACAGCTGCTGCAGCAATGCAGGCACAAATGTACTTTATCAGAGGCACAGAAACCTGAAATACGTTCCATGGATCAAAATACACACACATACAGACACTGCACAGTTCCATACTCATCTGTGCCGCTAAAGAAAACGAGCTAAAGCCCACCCTGAGGACAGACAACAGCTCTCAACCCCTCCCCACAGCCACACCTCCGTGGCTTGGGTAAAACAACCAAGCAAGGCAGCAACACCCAGGGACCCCACATACCATCCTGGCTGATGACCATGGACTCCAGCATCGTCTCGTTGCCGCTGTCGGGCGCGTTGCCCCGGCTGGGCTTGCCCTCGTGGCTCTGGCCGCCCGGGATGGAAATGTGGGGCCGGACCCTGCTTTTGCGGGTGCTGATGCGGATGATGCCTCGGACCAGCCTGCACTCGGCGTCCTGCTCGTCCAGGTTGTAGTCCTGAGTTATGCTGTTGATGAGGTCCGAGATCTTGTTGGTCTTCTCCAGGAAGACGGTGTCCGAGGTGCACTTGGCCAGCTCGTCGATCTGGTGGACGCTGAAGAGCTCCGTCAGCTTCTTGAAGATCAGGACATCGATCTGCCTGCTGGACATGGAGCCGTTCAGCTCACTGATGTCCACATCAGACTCGTGGAAGGAATAATACTCCTCCGAGCTCCGGTGGCTGCTGGGGAGCGGCGGCTTTTCTATGCTGTTCCTGAAGGGCTTCTCCAGCAGCTCCTTGCAGCAGGAATCCGATTCCAGCTGGTGGCTGGGGCTCCTGTTTTGGTAGACAGGAATGCCCTTGAGCTTCACATCTGGGTAACTGAAACTGCTGCCCATGCTGGACTTCTTGATCTGGTTCCCGTTCTTCTCAGCAGGGGAGACGTTGGCGGGGCTGTTTGGCAGCCGCCCGTTATAGTCTCCGTTCTTTCCATCGTCAGTGGAGGTCTCGGTGGGCCCCGGGTAGGGGATACAGACACTGCAGTCCTGGAAGCAGCCCCCACAGGTCACTATACAACAGAAAACAGCCTTGTACGTGTTCCAGGCCTGAGACAGAGAGGAGCAGCACAAGCTCTGGCTTGGGGGAGCCTCTGCTGTGCCAGAGATAAAGGTGATTGTCTCTGCCTCTCTGCCGTTGGAGTCCTTGAGCTCGGCTTTGCGCCCCTTCCTGTCCCGCATCTGCTGGGCTCGGCTGCGGCTGGGTTTGATCTCCGGCGTGGAGCCGCTGAACACCTCCAAGCTGACATCCGTGTCCTTGGCTGCCCGTGTCCGCAGGGGCACGGCCTCCTGGCAGGCCTGGCTCAGCTGGCGGTGGCTGTTCAGGTCCTGGGGCAGTCGTGTTTTCCGGCCCAGCATGGCTCAGCGCTCGGGCACCTGCGGAACAGGGAGGGCTCAAGTCACGGCTCTCTCGTCATCACCAGCCCCACCTCAGCGAGCTGCCCGTCAGCACCGAGGGGCCTGGCAGGCAAACTCAGTGATTCTCAGACTCAGCATTTCAGTTTTCACAGGGATGGCTCACGCTGGGGCTCACGCTGTTCCCACTTGTGGCACAGAGAGGGAATCCAGCCCCTGTTTCGGGGCTCTCCGACTACTCAAGCTTTGCTTCCCTTTGGTAGACATTCAAACCAGAAGATACAGGCTTTGAAAGGGCTATTTTAAGACATCAAAATCCTTGCAACCTTCAGAAGAGGTGTCAGGCTCTGGAGCAATAAACTCACAGCACAGCTGGAGGTGGAGCTTGGAGCTGACAGGCTCCAAAGGGAAAGTATCTTTTTTTAAACAACTCCCCTTTGTCTCACATTCCTCAGGATCAGGCTGGGCCCTGACAGCGATTATCCATTTCAAAACACATCTGTGCCCAGGAGGAGATGACAAGCAATCCATCATTATGCAAGCTGCCAATTCAGACTCCACGTTACTTGGTGCTATTTAAATTCAGGGGGATTTAGCAACACTGGCATTGCTAACACTAACGATTTTTGCCAGTCATGCTAAGGTTGGGTCGTGTCAAACACATTCCCTGTGAAAACCCCGTGTCTTCATCTGGATTAAGGAAAAGATCTTGTCAACAACTTGGTCTCAAATCACTCCTCAAGGGAGCAAAATCTTTACAAGCCCTACTACGGAGATGCCACAGCAGACTCTGCTCAACTGTTTCCCTCGTTACCAACATGACTGCTCCAGGTCTGCAGGCAGGAGTAAACAGTTTTTGCAGCATCCACTGTCACATTTTATCTCCCCAGAGCCAACAACCAGAGCCTGGCATGTTAATTCTCCCTGTTATTAATCTTTTTATTATTAAAGCTCGGCGCTGGGCGATGCTGAGTCAGGTCAAGGCTGTCACTCTCCACTTCTGTTGCTGCTGCCCTTTATCCCAGGCTGTGGTGGGCCCCTAAATTCTCCATGGTTTCCAAGCTTCTTGGCTAACACTGCTTTCACCCCCAAGAGATCCTTTTAAATACTAATTAGGGTAATTAATAAGCAGTGAGAGCCCAGCCATAGCTTAAATGTTTTAGGACTGTCCTTGTTGCTCTGCTATAGACTTTCTATAGAGCACCTCAAGCATGAATAAATAAATCTGTCTGACCTTGTTAGAGCATTGCCTCTTTTCCTCTGTTTTTTTAAACAAATAGAAACATTTTCTCCACAAAGGAACAGGCCCAGACTGAAAGCCAGGCAGTTACAGCACACCACTGCTTTCCAGGAATATTTTGGCTCTGTTACCTTATAAAAATTCATCCCAGGAGCTCCCTTTGCACATTGCTGGGCAATATGTTAAATAAAAAGCCCCAGATGCTGCAAGTTCAGTGCTGAGCAGGCAGGGCTCCCTCATCTCAGCATCAGTGGAGAGTTTTGATTGCTTTCTGTTCAGAACAATGAAGGTTTTTTCCTCAGCTTCATCACTGGTTCAAAATTTAAAAGCAGGCCAAAAGCATCTGAGCTGCACTGAGGACAGAGCTGATTACTGGGATGTTTCTCTTCATCCTGAGGCCTCAGGAAGAGATCCAACATCTGCACTGCTCACTTGTGTAACAGCAACACAACACTCTGTGTTCTTTGTGCTGACAGCAAGACTCACTTACATAACAATACATGATATTCTGAAATTTCAGAGCATCCTGGACACAAGGAAGAGTATGAAAAAGAGCTGCAAGGACAGATGTCAGAGACAGGCACCTGTCAGAGTCCTGGGCTCGTCCCTTCCCATCACAGCTCATGCTCCTGCAACCCCTGGATCACATGGAAAAGCTCCCTGGGAGCACGGACAAGACACAGCTCCTCAATCCAGCAGCTCCTCTAGCACAGGCAACAGACTGGCCTGAAAAACCCCCAGGCATAAACAAAAGCTCAGACCAAAACCCACATCCAGGGGATACTCACAGGGGTCGTGGCTCTCCCGCTGCTTCCTCTGCTGTCACGCAGGCGCCGTGTGAGACTGGAGAGGGTCCCTCCAAAGAGCCTCAGCATCTGCTCCAGAGGAGCAAGGAAGGGTTCACAAAGGGTCTGCACATCTAAGAGTTAGCCCGGGTCTAAGATCTTCATTGTTCAGAGGACGGGATTTCCTTGGGAAGTTTTTTAAAAAAAAAAAGTTAAATTAGGTTGTGAACCTCCTTAATCAGCACATGGGATTGACAATAACCCTATTGCTGGTGGTGTTGGAAGCCAGGGAACGTCTCCTGAGTTCAGGAGACAGGGTCTGCACACGGATACAACTTCTCTTAACTCCGTGGAATTTTCTAAGCAGCCTTGCCAGGAGCTGAAAGCCACTCTGTGAAGCTCCTGTTCTCCCTGCTGACACCAGGCAGTGATGGAGATCCTGGCCCAGAGTAACGTGGATCCAGCATCTTCCCTGTCCCTCTCAGCTACCTGAGATCTGAGCAGCCCAGCCAAGGAACTGCCTCTCACCAAACGCTTCCCTGTGCCCCTCGCCCAAAACCAGCTGACAGCCAGGACTCCACCACGCTGCAGGGAAACAAAATTTGGCCCTTCTTTCTCCCAGATGAAGGAGAAGGAAGCAGGGAGACCTGCCTGGGCACTAAACAGAGCCCCCTCTGCCTACCCTGGGCCTCCCAATGCCCTCCAAACAGGGGATTTTTGGGGAGAAGAGAAGCCGGCAGCAGGGACAGCCCCATCCCAGCCCGGCCTGCCCTGCCCCGCACAGGGTCCTGCCACGCTCCCCACTGAAGTTTCCCAGCCCCGGAAAGCAAAGCCGAGCCCAGCAAGGACCAGGGAGACCCGAAAACCCGCGGGGAGAGCTCCCACCACCAGCAGCCCTCCCGGGAGAGCCCCGGCACCATCCCCGGGGCCAGGGCGGGGAAGGTCCGGGAGCAGCGGGAAGGGACAAGGCGGGGGAGCCCCGGGGACCGCCGGGGGCAATGGGGGGGGTGTCCCCCAGCCTTGGGGTGGGGGGATCCGGGGTTCCCCGTGCCGGGGGAGCCCGGGGCGCACGGGGAGGGCGAAGCCGCCCCGGCGGGGGGACGGAGCCGAGGGGCGCAGGGGGCTCGGCGGGGAGGGTGTATGGCGGGATCCCCGGGGCGGTGATGGGATGTCCCGGTGTCCTTCCCTCCCTCCCTCCGTGCCGGTCGCGGCCTGCGCTGCCCCGGGGCCGGGAAGCGCCGGGGAGCGGCGGGCGGTGCCGGCAGGGTGGGCGGCGGGGCCGGGGCTGATGGCGGGGCCGGGGTCGGGGTCGGGGCTGGGGGTCGGGGCCGGGCCGGGGCCGGGCCGGGTCCCCCCTGCCGGTGTTACCTGCGAGCCGGGAGCGCCGTCCGGCCCAGCCTCACCTGCGCCAGGTGAGACACGTGACGTGGACGGGCCGCGCCGAGGGACAGCAGAGCGCGCCGGGCGAAGCGGCCCCATCCCGCCGGGAATACCGATCCCACCGGGAACACCCGTAGCCCACCCCGCACTCACCGGGGTCTGTGTCAAAGCAGCCTGGCAGCCCCGTCCCCAGCGGGCTGTGCCCCCAAGTAGCGCTGGCTCCCCGGGGATCGGCTCCCCACCAGAAGCCCCGTGCCCACCCCTTAAGGTCTCCATCGCCATGGACCCCTGTGTATCCTCATCCTCAAGGATCCCTGTCACGAAAGATCCCTGCCTCAATGCATCCTGATCCGGAAGGATCCCTCTCATGAAAGATCCCTGTCCCAATGGATCCTCATCCCCAAGCATCCCTGTCCCATGGGGTCCCTATCCCAGTGGATCCTCATCCCCAAGGATCCCTGCTCCATGGGATTCCTATCCCAATGTCCCCGCACCTCCGAGGATCCCTGTCCTGAAGAATCCTTATCCCAAAGGATCCCTGTCCCAAGGGATCCCTATCCCAGTGGATCCTCATCCCCAAGGATCCCTGTCCTGAAGGATCACTATCCCAAAGAGCTGGGCGGTTCGGATCCTTTCCTGAAGGTTTGGAAAGAAGGACGGAAACCCCTTGGGAAGGTGGCAGCAGGGAAGGAACCTGGCAGAACGACAGCTCTGCACTGAGGCTGCTGCCAGTTTCCAAGAGGAAAGAGGAGAAAGAGAAATCAGTTTAAAGGATGGTGCCAGTGCCAAGAGTCTCCTGCCTTCTCTAAAGGGCACAGAGACAGTGTTTATTTATTCAAGCCTCTGGCACTGAAGCCCAGCCAGTGTCGTTTCCCTGTCTGGGATTTCATTCGTGGATAACTCATAGCACTGCTTGGAAATGTGTCCTCTCCTCTACCAGGTGCCTTGAGCACAGATCCCAGCCATGAAACCTCTCCTGGCACTGTCCCATGGAGCCTGGCATTTCCAGGATGAGCTGAGCAGCACAGTGTGACCCCCTGAACCCAGCACCATTCAGCTCCCAAATTTTTCCCTGTGTCCCATCACCTCCCACATCCCAAACTGCTGACGCTGGGTCCAGGGTGGTGGGACAGGGAGCTGGGTCAACCCCAGGAGTCCCGAGGTTTAAACCTGAAATCCTGATGCAGGATTCCTTCCCTTACACTGTGCCAGGATGAGAGAGCAGTGCCTGGGCCCCCCTGTCCTGGTAACTGGGACACCTGGGGACAAACTTGCAGAGAGGCTGGGAGAGATGGCACCAACATGAATTATTTGCTGCCTGTGACAAGGCTTTGCTTTTCTGGAGCACATCCCAGTGCGGGGCTTTAAAGAGGCTGCAGACGAGGCCAGTGCACATCCCTTGGCTGTGTCCTCCTGCTGCCTGCATCCCTGCGGGAATACCGGCGACTGGACTGGAGGTGGGATGCAGGATGTGGTCCCATCCCGGTGTCCCATCCCGGTGATTGGTGCCTTGGCAGAGGGGCGCTGGCAGGGGAGGGAGAACAAAGCTCCCACCGGGCTTTTGCATCACCGAGGTTTATTCTGAGCGCTGCTAATTGCAGCCTCCTCTGCTAAATCATTAATAGCTCGTCAGCCCGGGCAGAGATCCTGCAGTGCCGGAGGGTTTTGGGGACTCAGTCACTGACTTACCTCAGGGCAGGGGCAGTTCTTTTATTCTCCTGCTATTTGCCTTTCCCAGCTCCTGTCTGCTCACTAGTGGGACGTGCTGGGACAGCCTGGGGACACAGTCACCTTCAGCCTCACTGCCCAACAAACCCAGCCCATCTTTCCCCCTGCTCCATGTTTTTGTGTCCTTTTCTCACCCCGGAGCAGGGCCTGGAGCTGGGAAGGCGACAAGCAGCGCAGACGTGGGAGGTGATCCAAAAAAAGTAATTATTTTCTGAGCAGGTGATGACGGAACGGGCACCTCCTGAGATCCCTCCAACTTCTGCAGTTTGGGGGTTTCACTTTGGGGAAAAGGGGGAAGCTCAGAGCGTGGCAGATCCCAGCCCTTTCCCCTTTCGGGAATACCCTTGGAGATCCAAGTTCCAAAGAAGCAGAGAAAAAACGGGAGAGGAGGATGTTCTGTTTAATTCCTGCCTGTCCCCGCAGATTATTGGGCACGGGGAGCAAGGGCAGAGCTTTAACCCCACGAGGGAGCAGCGGCCCCTCAAATCCCACACCCCATTTCAGAGCAGCATTTGTATCAGATGCACGAAGACTTCAGCTTTCCCACAGCCTGGAATGCAGCCTGCAGAGCTCGAGGAAGCGCCGTGGCCGTGTCTCCGACCCCGGGCGGTGGGGGTGCGGTGTCTGCCGGGGACGAGCCGGCAGCGGGGGCTGGAGCAGTGACGCAGCAGCCGTTGACGCTGCTCCGGTGCCTGTCAGACGTGTGGCAGCCTGGCAGGAGCAGGAATGTGATGCAAAGCGCAAGAGATGGGGGTTTATTTTTTTTCCTCCTAAGGTAAGGGAAGCAAAAATGTCACCAGCTCCGTGGGCGACATCCACTGCAGGCCTGGATGTGGCTCTGCTTGGAACACATTTAGGCTGGGTTTTGTCTTAGGCTTTTGATCCGGTCTGGGGGTGGGATGAGAGCTTGGCACCTCGTTTCTGTCATCCCTTTTATCCTCCCTGCTGCTCCGATGTGAAACACAAGCAGGTTTTTACCCCACACACCTACATGAAGATGCAGCTACTGAGGACGGCATTCCGGCAGGAGGAACCCCAAAAAACAGGCTCTGTGGGGGAGCAAGGTGGCAGCAGCACCTCCCTCTCCAGCCCCCTCCCCGTGCCATCCCACCCCCAGGTCTATTAACACCATATAAATGATAATGACGTTGCTGTGACAGCCATGCGCACCAAGGACACGCTCTCCTGGTGTCACATTCCCTGCACCCCAGATGGGACATCCCAGCCACAGCCTGATGGGTGGTGGGGGGGAAAGAGGCTGCCCCCTGCTCTTCTCCCTGCCCCAGGCAGAGGCACCAGCATCCCCCAGACAGCACCAGGAGCTTCTCAGCTGCTTCTCTCAGGAGCTGCAGACTCAAACCAGCCGTTCCAGTAACCCCTCGTAGTCCGGCTTTCCCCACTAACCCATCCCGGTAAATCTCCCCTCCCAGTCCAGCCTTTCCCAGTGATACCAGCCCGTCCCCAGCTCAGTATTTCCCACGACTCCCCCCGAGGGCACCACAAACTGCTAACACCACCGGGACAGTGCCCTACCGGGCCATACCGAGCCCTATGTCCTGTCAGTGCTGGCACCGAGCCCGCATCGATGCCGTACTGGGCCACACCGAGCCCAGGGCCGGTGCCAGTACCGGGTCTGAGCAGGGCCACACCGAGCCATGCCCAGCCCGGTGTTGTGCCGAGGCCGAGGCTGTGCCAGTGTCGACACCGGTAATGTGCCCCACCGGGCTATACCGAATCCCGGGCCAGTGCAGAACCAAGCCCGTACTGGTGCCGTGCCGGTCCATACGGACCCCCGGGTTGCACCGCACCGCTCCGGGGTCTCGCGTCCCTCCTCTACCCCCCCCCCATCCCCCTTTTGCCGGTGCGGAGCCGCCCCCACCGGGGCCGAGCCACCCTCCGCCAGCACCGCCCCCGGGCTATATATCCCCGCCGCATCCCTCCTCTCCCGCTCCCGCTCCCCATGGCTGCATCCCCGGCGGCACCGGCATCCCGGAGTCCCACCCGCGGCGACGCGCAGCGCCCGTCCCGCGGCGGCCCCGGCGGGCCCGAGGCGGGCCCGGAGAGCGGCGGCAGCAGCAGCAGCAGCAACCCCGGCGCGGTGGAGCTGGCGGCGGCCCGGCGGCGGCTGGTGGCGGCGGAGGGGCGGCGGCGGGCGGCGGCCGAGCTGGAGGGGCGCGTGTGGCAGGTGCACTGCGCCCTGCGGCACGCAGAGCTCCGCCTGGCCGCCCGCGCAGAGACGCTGGGCCGGCTCGGGGCCGGCGTGGCACAGGCACAGCTGGCGCTGGCGGCCCAGAGCCAGCGGCTGCAGAAGGGCTCCGCCGCCGCCCGCGCCCCCGGCCCGCCGCGCTGCTCGCCGCCGCCCGCGCCCTCCGCAGCTGCGTGCCCTGGGCACCGTCGAGGGCGCGGGGGGCGGCCGCGGGGACCCCCGTGCGCCGGCTGCCCGCGGCGCCCCGCGGGTCCGCCTAGGGAGGGGCGTGGGGTGGGACTGGGTGGGTGGATGGAGGGCGCTGGGGTGCTTTAAAGGGGTTTGATCGGGGGGGATCGGAAAGTTCTGTGATGCGTCTGGGGGACTCTGCGGGATCTGGGAGGACCCAGTGCTTCGAGGAGCCCCGGCGGGAGGGGTCTGATCGGTGAGGACCTGGAGGGGTTTGGGGTCCTTGAGGGGGTTGGATCGAGTGGGTGCCGTGATGGGGATGGGGATCCTGCGGATCTGGGGGGGGATCCAGTCCTTCAAGGAGTCTGACTGGTGAGGATCCAGGGTCTTCTGGATTGGGGGTTCTGAAATTCAGGGACAGTTTGATAGGTCTGGGGGACCCTGCAGGATCTGGGGGACCACATGGTGTGGGGGTGACCCAGCGGGGTCTTTAGGGGGTTTGAGGCAGTCTGGGGGCTTGGAAAGCAGTGGGTTTGAGGGTCCTGATTGGATTCTGCAGGGTGTGAGGGGTCTGGGGGTCCCTATGGGGTAGGGGGACCCAGCAGGGTCTGGGGAATCCGAGGGGCTGGGACCCAAAGGATTTGGGGGTCCCAGAGGGATCCTGCAGGGTCTGGGGGACTCTTCAGGGTGGGGGTACCCAGCAGGATCTGGGGACCCCAGCAGTGGCCTGAGGGGTCTGATGGGGGAAGACTCTGGGGGGTTTGAGTTGTTTGGGGTTCTGTAGGGGACCCTGTGGTATTGGGGCACTCCCCAGCAGGGTCTGGGGACCTTGGGGTGCTCTGAGGAATTTTTTTGGGGGTGGGTGTGGTCCCCGGGTGTTTGGAGTGCCTGAAGGATCCTGCAGGGTCAGGGTCCAGGGTGTGCAGTGAGCTGGAAGATGGCAGGGGCAGTGAGGTTGGGGGGCCCAGCAGGGTCTGGGAACCCCCATGGGGTTGGAAGACCCTCCAGGGTCTGGGATCCCTGGGGGATCTTGCCAGGTTTGGATGTGTTTATCGGGGAATCTGCTGCCAGCACCTCCATCTCAGTCTGGGGTCACCTCCCTCCCAAAGGCAGCAGGTTCAGGGCAGCCCCTCAGGAGGGGTCCCAGAGCCCTTGGGCCAGCAGGACACTGGTGGGACTGTGACTGATACTGGGCCTCTGTGCAAGCCTCAGTGGGGAATCGAGCGGGCTCGGGGCCACTCCACTTCCACCAGCCCTGGCCAGCGGTTTCGGCCCCCACAGGGGCAGAGAGCAGGAGAGGACTGGGATTCGTCAGGACTGGAATTCGTGAGGACTGGACCCCGTGATGGCACCGGCACCGCTCGCCTCCCACCGAGCTGGAATTTCGGGACTGCTCTGATGACTGACCAAGCGGGTGACACTTGAAACCTCCCGGTGCTTCCAGCAAACGTCCTTGGGGACATCCAATGTCACCTGGCAGCAGAGCCTGTCGCTGCGGGCTGGCGAGGAGGCACGAGGAGGCGGAGGAGGGCTCGGGATGAAGGATCCCTCTCGGGGCAGAAGGCTTGTGCAGGGCCCTGATGCTGCTGTCCCCATCACTGTCCCCATCGCTGCCCCACCAGCCCTGAGCTGGCCTCAGGATGGAGGGCTCGGACCTGATGGGATCACCCCTTCGGATGGAGGACTTGGACGTGATGGGATCACCCCTTTCCCAGTGGGAATTGCAGTGGCTCAGCTGGCAAAGCCCCCACCGTGATCCCGCTCCTCCGCCGGACACAGCACTCACCGTCCCTGGGATTACAAGAGTCCCTCACCTGAGCCACCAGCTCTCGCTTCGCTGTGCCAAGCTTCTGCAGTGGCTTTCCCCAGAGGCTGCATGAATCCCACTGGAAAAAAAAAAAAAAAATTGTTTATTTATTTTACTAAAAAAAAAAAAAAAAAAGGGTTTGGGCTGGGTGGGATTCGGGGGGTGGGATTTCACTGACGTATGAATGTGCCGCGACTACCTTGGTGTGACAGCAGGTCTGTTGTGTAACCCTGGCTGCTGCTGCTGCCCTCACCGTGCTCTGGAATAAACTTTGATATATATTTTATTCATTACATGCAGTGTCCTGAGGTGCTGGTTGAAATATAACCGAGAGGGTGATTAGAATGGGGATTAGCAAATAAGCCCTGGTAATGGCGTGTAATTAATACCGGGGTGGATTTCTCTGATTATCGACCTCTTCCCTCCTTCGGGGGTGTGGGGACATGGAAAGTGTGCTCAGAATTCCTGCAGCAGAATGTCACTGTGGGTGGCTGGGGTCTCTGGCACCACATATGTAAATATATATATATATATATTCACACAAATACAGACATAATTTGTCCTGAAAAACTCATATAAGGTGAAAAATAAGGTACAACTTGCACATAAATATGTGCAGAAAAGAGGTGGCAGAGAAATATTTAAGCTACCACCCTGCCTTTACGGTCATGCACTGGGAGACCTATGCCTTATTCCCATTAATCCCAGTTTTCAAACAATTCTTCTCAGGTTTGTGCTGCCCTAAGTGGAGCTCTGAGTGCTCTGACACCCCTCGGTGCTCCCTAATTTCTGCCCTTTTGCTAAATCAGTCCCTGGGGGAGGTTTTCCCCTCAGTGCACAACTGTAATCCCAGCCAGGAGGTGATTCCCGGAGCCGGGTGGGGAATTTGCTGTTAATAGCAGCTTACGGGTCTCAGCCAGGAGAAGGGACACATTATCTCTCCCAGGCTTTCAATTAATGGTATGAAATGCACAGCTTGGGCTTAAATCCCTCGATTTCCCCCCCTTCCAGCCCCCCCCCTTCTCTGGTGATTATTTGCAAATCAGCTTTTGACCTGATTAGAGCAGAACCGACTCAGAGGAAATGTGGGAAAAGACCTTAAAATTATGATAAATCAACTCCATTAAACCAGTCAGACCAAAATAATTTGAAATCCTTCCATGCAATGGTTCATCCACACCCCTTTGGTCTCAGTGAGGTTATGGTCTCATCCCACTTTGTATTCCTGGAGTATCTTCAGCTGGAACATGACATCCATTACAATTCACATGCTTACTATTCCCATTTTCCTGGGGGATGTGGTCAGCAAGGACAGAAGCACTGTGGAAGGGCAAGAAGGAGACCCCAGGCCTTCTCAACACCCTGCAAATAGATGAAATAAGGATACCTGTCTGCTCCAGGTGCCCAGGGAACACCACACCCAGGATTTCAGAGGATGGGGAAAGGCAGTGGGGCCCCCTCCATCTGCTGGGACAGGGGGACATCCCCCCCTTCAGCAGTTAAAGTGCACTGGGGAGGCTGGGGAGGGCAGTTGTGTCCTGGTTTTTGGAGTGGAGGAACAACAGCAGCTCCCCAGGCTGATACTGGAGTGAGAAGTGATCCCTGTTCCAGCAAAAATAATTAGAAGGGAACAAAAGCTAGTCCCAGAGTCTCATTACACAGGGGCTGCTCATGGGAGCAGCATCACCTCCTGCACCTCCACAAGTCCCAGGAAGCTCCAGCTGACACTACCACTGACAGGGACAACAGCAAACTCCTGCTGGAGGGTCCTGGGCCCGTTTGGGGCTCAGATTAGGAAGGGGGAAACCCACAGCACCTCCAGCAGGAGCCAGACCCCCCCGGTGCCTTTGGGATCACCCCCTGCCTCGGGAGCACAGGGCTTTACATAACCCCGCTGCCTTCCTGCCCTCCTGCCAGCGATGCTCTTACATAAACAGCACCGACACTTGTTGGGTTTATGAGATTATTTTGTTACAGACTTTCTGGGAAAAATAAAATTAACGTGGGCTGTTAATACCTAAGCCTGGCTTCTCCCCTTTCCGCTGCTAATTCCTTCGGGTTATCCTCCTGGGGGCGTGTGGGGGTGTGAGGGGGGTCGGCAGGGCCACAGGCACCCACGGGTGGGCAGGGGCAGGAACTGCCCAGAGCTGAAATGCCTCTGAGGGGCCGGTGTGAGAGCGAGGGGGGGAAAGTAGGGACTGTGGGAAGGTGGTGGAGGGAGACAGGGGCAGTGAGAGTGATGGAAAGGGGGACAGGGATAGTTGGGAGGGTGATGGGAGAGGGAGAGGGGATGGTACAGGAGTGATGGAGGGGTACAGAGACCAGGTGAGAGTGATGGAGGGGAAGACAGGGACAGTGGGAGGCTGATGGAGAGGGGACAGGGACAGGGAGAGTGGAGAGGGGAGAGGGTGGGTGCGAAAGTGATGAAGGGGGTTAAAGGGACGGGGCGAGGGCGACGGAGAGGGTCGGAAAGGGACGGTCCCAGAGCGATGGGGAGGAGGGGACAGGGCTACCCTCCCGAAGGTCCCAGGGACCGGGAGGCCACCGATGCCACCCGGAGCCGCCCGGTTCGGTCACCAGAGGGCACTGCGGGAGCTGCTGCCGCAGCCGCCGAGGCGGAGC